AATGCTTCCACACAAGGCTAAGTGCCTTGCGTCAAGAGGACTAAGATTTTAGGTTTACTTCGATCATAACTTATAGCACAATTGACCGTGCGGTCAATGTTTACTTCTTATTTTGTGAACCCCATAATTATATGGGGTATAATTATATGGAATATAATTATATGTCCATCGGCTTTCCCTTTTAATAAAGGGAGGATAAGGAAGCCGATGGACATAAATCGACCACCCCAGCATCCGTGGCCTACTGCCATTTCAACTTGCTAATCCTATAAGCTCGGGTAGTTGCCTTTTTGCAAACATTTTACTTGAAGTTTTGCTAAAAAATGGTGACCAGCGACTTCTTTAATGAAACCTGTTTATTAATGCACCAAGTTTGCAAAGTAATTAAAGAATTTTATCATTTAAAACAATGTCAACATAAGCACATTACAAGTGTGGGAGAGCTATGCTTCAGCACGAATGGGCCGGCTCGACCGGAGTGATACCACGGCCGAGCAGAAAACCGACGTGAAGCAACGCTTGCGTTGTGTTTCGTCGTGTGAGTAAGGTTACCGGAGGCCCAATTATCCTCCCCTTCCCTAATCTCCCCAATTCCTGCATCCCCAACGATCCTCAAACTCCTAACTCGACGCCGATTGCTTACCATCAGGTGATCCGTCTGCTTGAATACCGGCTAATGCCATGAAAAAAAAACCATACTAACATTTCCTTCAACAAACATCGATTTCTCAATAAAACACTAAAATCTTATTAAACCGAGTCACAATTATGATCATAACAAACCTTTTACTTTACAATATATGAATTGTGCAACAGTTTCACAACATGGAGTTACACTCGTAGTGTCAGAACCGTGGTTATATTACTGTAGTGTAATGGTGTCCAATGTATTGCGAAAATCCATCTAATTTCATCAACATTACATGCGTATCATGTTCCAGTTAAGTAATGGATGCTATAACATCACATCTATGCTCCCTAGAAATCCTATCGAAGCGCGACGTTTGTATGTGATGACGGCAAACATATGTCATTTCGGAGTCGCGGAGAACCTAACGGGTTACCGGGGCTTCGGCTCGACGTGCAGGAGAAGGAACGGGTTGGTTCTTAGTCAGTAAGAGTCTGACACTCCCTTCCGCCTCACCCAGGCGAGAGCAGTCATTCGATGACTTTCCCCTTTTAAAAAAAAGACAAGGTTAAGAAAGAAACGTAAAATTATATTCATATTTTTATTTTGGAGAAGGTAATTTTATCAATTTGGTCACGATGGCCAGTATCCAAACATACATATTTCAGGAGATTGTTATTGTATAGGAGATATATTGTAGTGCAAAATAATAAAAGTACAAATACATTCTCGACCTTATTGCACTTAATTTAAGACATGCAAATAAGTTATTTTATTTAAGTTCACAATAAAAGAAGATGTAAATGAAGTAACACAAGTCAAGAAAGATGTATATATAATAAATATTTGTAAGTACAATTTTTTTTTAATGGCATAAGCCGGTAAACGAGCAAACGGATCACCTGGTGGTAAGCAATCGGCGTCGCCCATGGACACCTGGAACACCAGGGGGTTACAAGTGCATCACCGTCTTTTTGGGGATTAGGAGTTTGAGGATCGTTGGGGATTCAGGGATTGGGGAGATTGGGGAAGGGGAAGGTAATTGGGCCTCCGGTAACCTCACTCACACGACGAAACACAACGCAAGCGTTGCTTCACGTCGGTTTTCTGTGAGGCCGTGGTATCACTTCGGTCGAGCCGGCCCATTCGTGCTGAAGCATGGCTCTCCCACTACAAAATTAATGAAAATCTAAAGGTTAGCCAAGAACACACAAAGACTTCTAATGAAGAAACTTACGTTTTGAAACTGTTGAGTGGGACATACACTGGGCAATTTGTCATAGCTCGCTGCTTGTCTAATCAGATCTATAGTCATGTTATAAAGGTGAAGATTTTGTTTGACTTACTGATATTTAAATTATTATTTACCATGCAATCAAGTTCTTGAGGAAACCTTATACATTATTTAAAACACGTAATTATTGTTCATGATCTGCTAACGACAGAAAAGTAAGGAAATGAAAGAGATAGTTGATCATTTCTAATTGTCATACTCGGAAATGAAATCTAAACCATACATTCATCGACTTTCATTCTTACATTTCCACACATAAGGTATTCTTTTCTTTAACAAACTCTTTCGTACCAAAAGATGAGAGAAGTTATTCCACTACTACCCTTCGCATACCATTAACGCATGTTATAAGGAAAAATAAAACTAAAACATTCTACTCAAACTTACATAACTTCACTTTTCAATACATTGCGCATTACCGCAAGCATAACAGGAAAACATAGCAAATCAATCTTCAATGTAACACAATCTTCATGAATTGACCCAATTCTTCAAGTAAATCCACTTAACTTTGTGTAGAACAAACTACCTTAAGAGCATCGATGCAGAAATCTATATCAGATCTTGTAATGCACCAATTATTTAAGTATCGCAAGGTTTTTTCGCAATTCCCGCCCATGTTGAACGTAATTTTATTGCGGACAATATGAGTATAAAATTTTCCAGTTTTTTATGGACGTTGTTTATTTTATGATGTAAGTAATGTGTCTGGTTTTTAGGGCTTTTAGTTTGATGTATCATTTAACATAACATAACATCACGCCTTTTATCCACTGTACAATGTAACACTCACTTTTCACTATGTATGTTATGAGTCTCATGTAATAGGGAGTGAGTCTATTGCCATATACCGGGCACAGTTCCAGACTCCGTGCTACTACTGAGATTTTTTTTAAAAACTTAAAGACAAGGTAATACTTTGTCCGACCCCTTACCCGAGTCTCACTTGCGACCTACCAACCAGGAAGTCTCATTTAATTCTTCAGTAAATAATAAATGATGTTATTAATCATTACAGTAGTGGTCTGTCTATGTTTCTCCAGAAGCAAGAGAAATGTATCCAAATAAAAATTACAAAACAGATCTACCACTACACTATAATATTACCATGGATTTCCTAAAAGCATGACCCTAATTCGTTGCTTTAGATTCTTTTGTAGTAGGAAAAGAATCTATAGCAACTAATTTTATTTGTATTGCATAAAAACAAGACAAAAATATAAGTACGTTATTGAGGACTGATTTTTCAATCATCAGTTAATTCTTAACTGTAGAATAAAATTGACATTTGACAGTTTTTAATTTGGTAGAAATGTCAAATATACAAAGTTTTCCGTAAGTGTGGGTCTGCGGCCGGTGAGCAAGCTTACTGCCCGACCAGAACCAGACTCGTGGGTTCGGCGTGTGGCGTTCCGCGCGCGCATCAAAGTGCCACCACAGATGGGGCCCAGTAGGGATGATACCCGATACGGAGCCGCAGAAGACCTAACGGGTTGCCAGGGCTCGGGCTCGAAGAGCACAAAAATAGGAACGGGGTGGTTTTGAGTCAGTAAGTCTGACACTACCTCTCGGATCACCCAGGTGGGAGAAGACAGTGGATGACATTCCTCCCTCAAAAAAAAACTCAAATGGATTAAAAGTTATTAACTACTAATCATTCTTTACCCAACTCTGTCCATCAAGACAAGATTAAATCATTTAAAGCCCAGCTTTTTCATGTTGTAATAAACAACACGTAACGGGTAGCCGTAGAGTGATCAATTAGAATGTTTAGATTATAATCTGTTTTGAAACCGAACCCACACTTACTGCGGTAAAGTATTGCAGAAACTCTTGATCAACAGGAAAGCTTACACTAATCGTTGATGATGGCGTATGCCTAGATACAGCCAACGTTACAATAATTACTTTTAAAACATCGATGTAGCTACAAATTGCATTAATTCTCTTATTAAATCGGACATTCAACATATCGTTTTCTATGCGACGGCTAAGCTAACCGAAGTGAAGTAATGAGAACTTAAGAAGAGGAATAAGGTACTATATGCGTAATTTTGCTAAATATTCATTTAGCTGATCCTCTAACGCCCGAATACTGAAAGGTTACTCAAAGTTGTATTTAAATGTCGTGCCATCTCTGTCATTTTACATAGAATTTATAGTGACAGAATTATATTTAAGAGCCACTTAAAATTGAGTAGCCTTTCAGTATTCAGGCGTAAGAGTATAGCTAGCAGCACAAAAATTGCCTCACGAGTGTTGCCTTTCATATCATTGTTCATAGTCTGTGTGATGTGTGTATCTTCATTACTAATCTCGAAATCCTAGGTTTCCCAAGACACACAATGTTTCAGTGATCTTCTCGATTTCAAAACTATTAGTTATTGCATGATGATTTGTATGTAGTTTATCTAACTGTAAAACTAAATTGGTAACTTTGTCTACGTCTTCACAAACTACAGACAAATTCCTTGTAGCATTGTTTTGTTCTATATATTTTGTAGTAAAGATTTCGAAATCTTTTTTGTCCTTGGTCCATACAAGCTCTGTTAACTCTCACATATTATTATCATTACCTTCATTTGTTTCCATTGCTACTCTGTCGCAATCATTGATTTTATTTCGTACGCTACTTTCGCTTAATTTTTTCTTATTTGGAAATATTGTTCTTGCAGTTGTATCAACATCAATTTCGTCTAATGATATCTTTGTATTGTTTTCTATAAGTTATAATGTCTAATATGGGTGCCTAATGATGTTATTATTGTTTCAGTTACTTTGATCAGTGAAATCAATACTATTGCAATACTTTTTCACTTTTCCTTGTTAGTTTATATTTATATATATTTTCTATCGTAAGGTTTCGAATGTCTTGTATCATGTTTATCTACAATTTGCTGTGTGATCTTTTTCGTATCCTGTTTTCATTTATGGGTTTATTTTTAGTTGTTGTATGTTGAGTATTATTTATTCTCGAATTCTATTCGTGTGCAATTTATTCAATACTATTATCGGTTATAATGTGTGTTTCTAATAAAAGTAAGAAGAAAAGGGCACTGATAGAATAAAAGCACAAAGTGAACATTCCACACATTTTTATTAAATCAGCCTCAACTCAAAGTACAGGTACTTTGTCAAGTTACATTATAACAAAGCATATAAAAGCTAAAAAAATAATAACAGGTAATTATCTACAACTGCAGGCCGCGCGTCAAAAGTGACGCTATGCGGCCAACCTATTGTTCGTCGACTGCAAAACTACGAATATTTTTATTTGCATATTTCAAATCAGTTTTTGGTCAATTCTCGTAAAATAGTAACAACAAAAGGATCGATATTTCTCAACTATTTAAGTTAGAACTCAAAATTCGTTCAGCAATTCACCGCAACATAGCCGTCACATCACTGGCCTGTGAGCGGACAGCACCAACATTCACAAAATTTAGCAAAAATATACAATACACTAAAAATACTAATTGATCACATTTCTGAACTTAACCTACAAGGTACAAGGTGAGACTTAGCCTAAGGTCACTCAGTGCCAACCGTGGTGTTGCTGGGGCTGGTGGTGCTCGTGGTGGTGGTGCTCCTCCTCCTTTTTGATGTAGAAGGGAACATGCACCTTCACGGGGTAAGGCACCTCCTTCACCAATGGGAATGGCACGTCCTTGTACACTGGGTAAGGCTTGTCAATGGGGACCTTCACTTCGAAAGGCACCTTCTTCTCAACGGTGTATGGGATCTTCTTGTACACGTCGTAAGGTTTGGGCACTGGGACCTTGATGTGGACTGGGTAGGGCTTCTCAACCTCAACCTTGTAAGGCTTGTCAACGGGGACTTTGACTTCATAGGGCACAGGCTTGTGGACTGTGACGGGGTAGGGCTTCTCAACAGGGACTGGGTAAGGTTTGGGCACGTACACGTTGTAGGGCTTGTCGACGGGCACTTTAACTTCATAAGGCACCTTCTTGACGACTTCGTAGGGTTGGGGTACTTTGACTTCGTATTTCACGGGGACTGGGACCTTCTTCTCGACAGTGTAGGGCTGGGGTACGGGGACCTTGACTTCATAGGGGACCTTCTTTTCGACGGTGTAAGGAGTGGGCACCTTAACCTTCACTTCGTAGGGCTTGTCGACGGGGACCTTGACTTCATATGGTACCTTCTTCTCAACGGTGTAGGGCTCAGGCACGTACACGGGGTATTTGACGTACTCCTTCACGGTGACGGGGACTTTCTTTTCGATGGTGTAGGGCTGGGGCACGTGTACTTTGACTTCATAAGGTACTTTCTTCTCAACGGTGTAGGGGACGTGCTTCTCAACGGTGTATGGGACAGGGACCTTCTTGATGACTTCGATGGTCTTGACGTGTTCGTGGTGTTGGTGGTGATGGTGTCCGTGGCCTTCATCAGAGGCAATGGGTTTCCAGCCACCGCTGGAGCCACCGAAGTCACCGCCACCATGTCCGTAGCTGTCACCGCCACCATGTCCGTAGCTGTCACCACCGCCTTGTCCGTAGCTGTCACCGCCGCCGTGTCCGAAGCTCTCGCCACCTCCATGACCGAAGCTTTCACCACCGCCGTGTCCGAAGCTCACACTTTCGCCACCGCCGAAACCATGTCCTCCATAACCTCCCTCGCTGCTGCCACCACCGCCTCCATAATGACCAAAGTCATAAATTCCTCTCTTCTCCTGCTTCTTATCTTCGGATGCTGCCGCTTGTTTCGGTGCGCCTTTCTCCTCGCTGGCAAAGGCCACCACGGCCAGCGAAGCGACCAATACAACCTGCAGACAAGGAAATTACGTATAGTAATTCTGAAATATCATCACTAGAAAGTAATCGATGAATGTACAGTTTATATGCCAATAGTGAGCGCAAAATAATTGCAAATGATTCATTGTTACTTCAGATGTCTGTAGCGATGTGAGAAGACAAGAAAGTTCGTTTAGCGTTAAATAACAATGATATAAGAGGTTGAAAATCCTAAGCTAAGCCTTGGAACGTACGAAAGTAAAAGTTGCATCGGACTAGTTAAACTCATGTCGAGACGGAATACAAAATTCACACTTTCACTCAATGTTATATCGTATAATCTCGATTCTTGATTCCCAACAGCATTGTTAGACGGAGTTAATAAAAACATCGACTTTGTTTCACTTCCTTACCTCGTTATAAATTAGCCGTGAAACGTGATGATACGCTAATTATAATTAGGATTTATTAATTAATTTTACACATTTGTCGAACCGTGTTACGATTTATTCGACTCGGAAACAATAAAAAATTCAACGGCAATTTATGAACCGTTTTGTAATTGAAATATAACAGTACTTATGAATGGCTAAAGACCAATTATTTTCATTGCGTACTTCGGTGACTAATTTAATGTTTGAGCATTTATGTTTAATTGCCTTTAGCTAGCTTTCTAAAGGTTTTTATTCATAATTAAGTTTGTAGATTACGGGTATTGCAATTGCGCCGCACACAGAAACTATAGCAGCTTAAGCAATGTAGAACGATTAGAAGATAAGATCAGTCAATTTGTCCGTTTGTCTTTTGTTTTTGTTCGTATCTCTCGAATCTATGAGATTAATTTTCGTGACTTACGTAATAATAATTGTAGCAAAGTTCTTTGTTTTTTATGATTGTATAAATTTTTTTTTTACTTTATGTCCATTGATGATCTTGATACATTATGAATGAGAATTTGTGAAAAGAAATAAATGTTTTTTTTGTTTTTTAACTCTTTATATTATCAATTATATGAAATACATTCCTGATATTATTGACAGTGGGATTTTGAGCGACTGATTAAATAACGTACAGGCAATACAAGTACTACAGGTCATAGAAAGAAGTGAATGCTACCCGCATTTAAAAAAGAATTCACTCAAAATGTATAAGTAAATCAGAAAAAATACTATTATATTAGTGTGTACAAAATCGCAGGCAAAAGTCAGTGCACAAAATAAACATCTGTTAAACTTTCATGCGACCTTCAAAAACAGGTTTTAGATTGTTTTGGTCTGACTTTTTGACCTAGATGTTAAACATGTTGACTGACCACAAATGAAGTCATACCACGCTATAAAAACAACAGTGATGACAAATGTATTAATCAAATAACATTTACGTTCTGACTAGCTACTTGCGCGCGGTTTCACCCGCTCTGCTCAGCTCCTATTGGTCGTAGCGAGATGTTTTATAGCCTTCCTCGATAAGTGGACTATCCAACACGAAAATAATGATTCAATTCGAATCAGTAGTTTCGGAGATTAGCGCGTTCAAACAATCAAACAAAAAAACAAACTTCAGCTTTATAATATTAGTATAGATTGATGACTTTAAATAAGAATAAACGGAATATATCTTTTGCTATAATATACTTACTTGCTATGTGGCCATGACAAAATGAAGTGTGGAAACTATGAATGTAAATAGTTGGATTAAAAGTAAACACTTGGGTTTTCCCTTTCAAAATTAACAATAACAATAAGTTTGTTCTCCATTACAATGAAACTAACAGCTATTTAACAAGATGACGATAAATCGTTAGACGTTGCCCCATCCTAGGATTTTCTCCTGTGTCGTGGGTGCGTTTACAAACATACAAGTTCACATACACATGACACCCAGACCCGGAACAACGATCAGTGGATCACACAAAGAGTTGTTCCGTGCGGGAATCAACCCGCGACACGTTGCGCGGCGGCTAGTAGCCCAGTCACCGCGACAACTGTGCAGAAACGTTTTATAAATCTTATATCTTATACTATTATATAAAGCGGAAGTTTGTTTTTTGTTTGTTTGTTTGAACGCGTTAATCTCCGTAACTACAAGTCTGATTTGAATAATTCTTTTTGTGTTGGATAGCGCATTTATCGAGGATGGCTATAGGCTATAAAACATCACGCTACGACTAATAGGAGCTGAGCAGAGCGTGTGAAACCGCGCGGAAGTAGCTAGTCAAGTTATAAGAACCATGGTGTATTATTATGTTATGTAAAGTTAACTCTCAAATATGACTAAGTAGACTACTTTAACATAACATTACGTCCAAGAAATGCATATTACTGTTGAGAGTAGGAAGTGATTACGTTGTTATGAGTGATCGAGAGCCGGTAGGTGGCGCCACTTGTCGTACAAGTGAATTATTAGCGTTACGCAGATTGCAGAACATTTACTTTTTAATGTTACTGTTGATTCTTGGTTTCCTCTTGGGTTTGTGGTAATTATATTTATAATTATTGTGGATTCGTTAACGTTCAGCCTTTATCTATTATTTCTAATTGGTTGTTTGTTTTACTGACTGCGTCGTTGGTCGAGTGGTCGCAATTGCTACTGCCGGACAAGGGGTCTCGGGTTTTAAAAAAAATCTCAGTAGTAGCACACATGGGACTCATAACATAAATAGTGAAAAGTGGGTGTTACATAGTACAGTGGCATAATATGCACCTCTGCCTACCCCTTCGGGGATAAAAGGCGTGATGTTATGATTGTTTGTTTTATGTAGTTTACATGCATGGAGTATGCAAGCTTTTATGGTTTTATTTCCGTGCGCTTTCTTTTCCGACAACCTTGATAGTTTTAATTTGCAAACAAATGCTAGAGGTATAGTTCAATTGAAATACATAATATGTATATTGTCGTAGTAGAATCAACGGTAAATGTTGCTGTATACAATACTAGGTTCTGCCCGTGGCTTCGCCCGTCTATGTGTTATTCCTTAATATATCCTTGTTCCATATTTCAAACCGATCCCTTCAGCCATTTTGACGTGACAGAGTATCACTATAATAGTATAAAACATCGCTAGTAATTAATTTATAATATTAATAAGAAGTACTCTACCTCCAAAATAAGGATCAAAAACCTAGTTTAAACTAAGTGTAATAGTTGATTTCAGTACAACCAACATCGCTTATACACTGTTTCTCAACAAAAAAAATTACAATAATTCCTTAGTTCAAGCTCATAAAAGAACAAGAAGCGTACTATTAATTTGAAGTTACACAACTCTATGATTGTCTAACAAACATTTAACCTAGTTTTGAATATAATTACGCTAGTACATCATCAAGGTAAGTAGGTACGTACTTGTTGTGCATTCGGTCTATATTAATTACCGCATATGAAGAGTGAAAGTTGTTCGAGATGATTGTGGTGATGTGGAGCCTACCATTTGTTTTCGTTTTTTGGCTCAAGTAGAATAGTATCGAGCATGATTTTTTTTTTAAAATGAGATTTAATGTTTAAACGTTTGGTATCTCTGTCATTTGATGAAGTAAAATCCTCTTAATTCAATTATTATTGAACTTGTTGTTGTTTCATTTATTTTTGTTGCAAATATTTAGACTGTCAAGTTGTCTTTCACATGAATGACGCATAAAACCTCATTAAATTGTCTCTACCATTTTATATTTACTTCCATTTAAGAGTAAAAACTAACATATCGAGTAAACAAATCACCAACTTTCTCACCAATTACTTCAACAACTTTCAAAACGAAATCGTTGCGAGTTCCACTGGTAACGCGGTTCATATAGATCGGATATCCAGTGTCAATGCTCGCTAAACCAGTTTTGTGTGATCAGAATTCATATAAGCATGAGATTTGCCGAGAAACAGCGAAAACAGGTTCAACGTGCGAGCCTCCATACAAATTATACGATGACTTGTAAACAAAACGATTGTAAAAAATCCCGCATCTATTTTTTGAAAGTGTAGAATACGAAATTAGTTTAATTATTCCATGTTCAAATCTTATCTCCAATCTTCCTTAAAGAAATCTTTTATTTTTTTATTCCAACAAATTAAATTTCACTAAAAAAACCCAAACATCAATTATTTAATCGACTATTCATATCGAGTTATTGATAGAAACGAACATTTGCAATCGATATTGTAAAATTTAATAACAGAACTATGACATAACGTTTATTTACTCGAATGAAACTACAAAATTATATTATGCCATCGAAATCACTCGATTATAAATCGTTACGTTGGTAATTATACAGAGTGATTATGAGTAGGATGTATCCGTATGTGTCATAAGCTGTAAATAGTCGATGCGTGACTCTTGCGTCAGTAGTCGATTAACTGTGTTATGCACTAGTGTCATCGGTAATTCTTACTGCACTAATTTCAGCTCCAGTGCATCGTAGTCCGGTGGAATGATTGATCTTGATAGAGAAGATATATAACAGAATTTATAGAATAAAAACGGTTTGTAATTTTATCGAACTTGGATCAAGTCTCAAAATAATTTGTAGTGACTATATTGACCATAGTTTATTGTGTATTACATTTTTTCTTAATCCAACTTTTCAATCAACAAATAGTAACAAATAGTGCTTAGTTAGTAAATAAGTTTAGATAACTTCCGTAGTCTGTCCGACATTTATCATTACATAGTTTATAATTAAAGAAAACTTTATATAAAGTAACATTTTTATTACTTTCACAGTTTTATGTTTATAATATTATACTGATTTTGTCTCCAACTTTTGTAATTTAATCGTTTATACACGCAATCTTAGCTTTACTACTAATAAGACTAATTAATGGCTGATTAAATTACTCAAGACGTATGAACCAAGTGTAATACAGAATAATTGATGGTCTTTACTAATTTTATGACAACTAACAAACAAGAATTAATGTTGACTTTTGATCCTAGCACTAACCCACTCACCGAGAATTCATTATTCATAATGAATTCTATTACACAATCTATGACTCCGATATTAATATTAATTTATGAATGTTAAATGTGCATGATGTATTTTAATAATTTCCTTCTTCTGATTTGACAATCTCTAAATGTTTCCTCTATTTAGAGTGAGGCTATTTGGAATAAAAAAGTCCAAAACTAGAAACAAAGAAACGGACTGATGAATCTGATTATGAATAGAATAAAAAAAGGTTAGAATACGACTTATGTATCTACCGTTAAATAAATAAAATAATATATGTTTACAATTCTCTAAGTAAGTATTCACTTAGCAGTTAATGTTAAATACAAATGTGATTAAAACACAGTACCTAATATTTTATTATAAATATTATTTTGCACTGTCCAAGGAAATATGTATGCACATTGTTCTACTCTTAATACTGGATCATATTCATTTGTTACAAGACTTACAAGTTACCTATGCGAAATGCAGTTTTAGTGCTCAAAACGACTGATTTTCTAATACTGCACTCGATACAACCCGGAAAACTTTGTCGCAACCTACTTTCAAAACACACTTAGCAAGTAGAAATTATTCAGTAAATCATTATACATATTATCGTGATTTGCATGTTTATGTCGGAAATGCATATACATAATATCTGTTTGAAGATTACATAATAGTTTATTAATAATTAATCGACTAAAAATATTAGTCGAGTACGTCGCTCAACACTATTTTGTCCTGTGCAATTATTGTGGAAGTTTTTGGGAGGTTTACATCAATTTAAATGGAAACGTTTTACACAACCTACAATGCTTACACACAGATATTTAAATACATCTAATGTAATAAGAATTGAGAGGACTTATCATTAGCAATAATCCTGTGGTTTAAAAGTGGATCTGAATTCACCTTATCAATACATCTTCGAAGAAAGTCGCATAGCTATTAGATATAATTGTCCTTTAAAGATTCTGAACATTATCATTCTGTTATTCAGTAGTACAAATCTTTTCGTCATTCGTTACCGTAAACTGATTTTTAGAAGTCCAAAGTATAACAGTGGATCTGACAAGAACTGACAAAACTTTACTTTTAGCCGAATCTGATTTTCGCAGCTAACTCTCTAAGTAAGTATGTATGGGTTTAAACAAAAAACGAAAACTCATACATATACAAGTTAATAATGGTAATCAGAGCAATTCTTACCTAAACACCGTATCTCCTATGGAACGGACAATTTTCGATACTTTCTACTTTGCAAAGGAAAGTGAAATGAAAATTATAGTAAAACCGGTTACTTGAGGAAGGAAACTGATTATATGATAGCGTGGTTAGTATTATAATGTCATATTATTATAGTCTTACTAGCTTCTGCCGAAGGCTTTTCCCTTCCTAGCTTTTCTGTGTCAAATTTCGTTCAGATCCAGTTTAGTACTATTTACATGAAATAATGACGGATATACATCCTTATAAACATTCATATTAATAATCCTACTGATATCAGATATGCGAAAATGCGTATGGATCTGTGTCCGTTAGTCTTTCATGTAAAAAATACGGTACGAATCTAGATAATATTTAGCACAGAGTTAGACTGTAGTTCGGAATAAGACATACAACTTGTCTTTACCCGGATAACGAAAGCGAGACTGCAAGCAGAAGCAATATTAATTAACTTAGGAAGTGCAATGACCTTTATTCATTTAGTGTTGGGAAAATCTTTTAGTTTATATTTCTTTTTGCCATCTAATTATTTAGTCATGTGAAAAATGTTTTCTTGGTTTCTGCTTTTTTTTTTAGTATTCGCTCAATGTCTATAATGAAAGATTATACAATTATTTTTTGTTTGTTGCTTTTCAGTGATGTATGGCTTGTTCTTCCGGTCAAGTTAGGAGTCTTGTGTTAGAGTCCCAAGTTGGCCAAAACATTATTATAACGGAAATTAAATGCGTGAGGCAATATTATGTTTTGTGTTAATGCGTGGATTTGAATTGTAGATTTATTTAATGACTAATACAGCTCAAAAAGTCTAAAGTAGTATTTATTTTAAGGATAAAATTGAGATAAACCTCAATATTGCCGTTACTAAACTATGAAAAACCGCAAGCTTTTACGTTACTTGTTAAATAATATTTTAAATAATTGCAAGAGTGTAATAAACTACTTGAATTTATATAACGACATGGGTTTAAACTAATTATGAAATAAATTATAATAACTAAAACAAATAAAAAGAAACAACGAATAACCCGAAATTTAAAACAATCGACCGCACTTACGAACTTTCTATTTTTGAAATTCTAATTTTAAAATACGAATGTTTTTATTCACTTTTGGCACAAACACTGGCACTGCACTATTTTGTATGAACTCACCAAAAACTTCATGTTGCTGTGTGTCTTCGTTCGTTCGCCGAAGACTGGTTGTGTGAAATGACTATGTTACCATCTTGTTATATACCGTCCCTCCCACTTTTTGAACGGCTAAGATATGCCCGAAGAAGGGTGAACACTTGGGCTCGATAATGACATGTATTAATTGTAACTTGCACTTATTATCTTGCATTCAAAACTAGAGCAGTCGGATGTACGTAATTTTAACCAAGATGATAGACAATCGATTCTAATTAGTCGATTAATTGAAACTGAATTGTTTTAGTAACATTGAACTCTTTACAATCGAGTATTTATGTAATTAAAAGAAATGTTTACTGTAATAAAATTTGCATAAAGCTACGCTAAAATTGTTGTTGTTTCACTACATTTTTAATGTCCTTGAGTGATGTGAAAATGCATCTTTTAGTCGATTTTTTGTAACTTAGTCAAGGATTTTGAAAAGTATGTCGTGCATGTGCATTTAAAACTGGTTGTTTGTTTAATCTGTCAGTTTATAATTAATAACATACATAGTAATTTATAGTAAGAATTGAATTAATCGTTTTTGATGATCGTAACTGTACTGTGAAGTTGAAGTTACCACATTCGTTACAACAGTTATATTGTTGAATACTTCAGAAAATGGTTTTGCTACTAACCTACTTAGTTAACTATAGCAATACTTTTTAGTTGGGGAAAGAATTTATACTGGGATCAAACCAAAAAAGGTGAAAAGGTTCAAATACAATGTAGCATAGATCTCAAGTTAAATTTTAACGAAGAAAAATTAGCTTGAGATTTTTAGTTCCCTTTAAGTTTTATTTCGTGCTAAATAGATATGGGTTGGGGACCAAACCAGTAGACAGGCTATACGATTGCAAGACCATTCCTTATCCTCTTCCGTATAACACTTCATCTGCTGCTCATACATCCAATAGCACTTTATGGGTCGTAGACGGAGTGGTATTTGAGTTCTATGCAAGAACTCATGTTGTGTCCTCCGAGTATTATTCCGTAAATCTAATTAGGTGTCGCAGAGAACCTAACGGGTTACCGAGGCTCCGGCTCGAATCGCAGTAGAAGGAACGGGGCGGTTTTTAGTCGGTAAGAGTCTGATACTCCGTCCCGCCTCACCCCGCCTGGGTGAGGCGGGACGGAGCAGTCATTCGATGATTTTCCCCTCTTAAAAAAATCTATTTAGTTATGGTTAAAATAAGATATTTTCATGGTAAACGCAATAGGCATAACTGTGGGAGAATTAATCTAAGATATCACATACAAACTATCAAAACAATTGATAATAAAATAACAGCATTGAATGCAGTTCTCATTTGACTAAATGTTGTAAGTAAAGTAGTGATTTGTTAAGCAAAGTTTTTTGATTCAAAAACAATGCCGTCTCCATGATAAACTACGGTTTTGTGTAAACTGTAAGTTGTAAGATAATAAATAAGATTATTCTAGATAACATAACTTCACTCCATTTAGTCTCTGAACGGATAGGTAGACAGTAGTACACATGATTCCTGACAGGGGGTGGACCTATTATCATATTTTCTATGATTCTATGATACGATATGTGACTGCCTCGTTGGCCGAGTGGTCGCAAGTGCGACTGCCGGGCAAGGGGTCTCGGGTTCGATTCCCGGATCGGGCAAAGTAATACTGGGTTTTAAAAAAATTCTCAGTCGTAGCACTGAGTCTGGAATTGTGCCCGGTATATGGCAATAGGCTCCCCCCTACTACATGGGACTCATACCATAAATAGTGAAAAGTAGGTGTTACGTTGTACAATGTCATAATGTGCTCCTCTGCCTACCCCTTCGGGGATAAAACGCGTAATAACATGTCTATGATACGAGTATACGACTCCAGTTCTGCCAGACTATGGCTCTCCCGCGTAAAATACCCTAATTTAACTTTAGTCTGACCTGAGAAACAAACACGAGAACCCTCGTACGGTAGTCTTACTTAAAATCACTTGATCAACGACACAGAGTGTGTAAGTAGTAAGATATTAATTAAGATCATAAAATACAGTGTACACAATCTCAGTGTAATCTTACATTTTTGTGTGTACGTTACGTATTGCGTGAATTTTGCTCTTGGCACATAACGTCCCAACATTGTAATGTATTTGATACTTTTGAATTGAACCTTAACAAAGTTAGTTTAACATTGATTTTACAGTGAATCTTTAAACGTAGCTGTTTGCTTAACTGCAACTTTTTGCTATGCTTTTGGAATGCATTTTTAATTTTAATAGGTAAATGTTAATTTAAGAATAGTTGACAAGTTTTATGCATGGTTTCCTTCAAAATTATCAGTTAAAAGAATATTTTATGTATTTTTAAATTCATTGTGTTAAATGGTACTTCGTTATAAAAGTTTAATAATTCACTAATGTAAATCAATTTCATCCTACGTTCTATTTTCGGTAGATACAAAATTAAATAATAATATTACTACATTAAATTAACTACAATTAGTAGTACGTAAATATTTGAAGTAGGTTTTTTTTCAATATGAAAAGGCAGCTAATATAATTCATAGCACTCGTAAGTGTCGAAGAGTCCATGCTTCGGCACGAGCGGGCCGGCTGGACTGGAGTGATACCTCAGAAAACCGACGTGAAACAACGCGTACATTGTGTTTCGTCGTGTGAGTGAGGTTACCGGAGGCCTAATTACCCCTCCCCAATCACCCCAACAATCCTCAAATTCCTAATCCCCCAAAGGCCGGTAACGCACTTGTAACACCTCTGGTATTCCAGGTGTCCATGGGCGACGCCGATTGCTTACCATCAGTTGATCTGTCAGCTCGTTTACCGGCTTTTACCATAAAAAAATTAAATGTATTTATATATATATAGACAAACCAACATTTGATTTAATAAATCAAATCATTAGTCTGATGTAACACATTTTTGTTTCACGTAAAATTATGCAATAATCAAAATAAATTTTTGGTCATGTGACAGTTTTGAAATACCTAATGAAATATGAGCATGAACAACATCGTAATAATTTATTGCAAATCCCGCAATATATTTTAATAAAATGTATTTAAAAATGTGATGTTTTGATTATCTCTAATCTCTTAATTACCAGTTTCTGTGCCTGAAAATTCACCTATAAACCTTTCCCGTGACACTGTACTTTTAGTTTAACATAACATAGATAGGCAGAGGTGCACATTACAGCACTTAATGTCACTGTACAATGTAACACCCACTTTTTACTATTTATGTTATGAGTCCCATGTAATAGATAGTGAGCCTATTGCCATATATCGGAGCCATATACCACAATTCTAGACTTAGACTCCGTGCTACTACTGAGATTTTTTTAAAAAGAACTCAGTAATACTTTGCTCGGCTCGGGAATCGAACCGACACTTCTTTCCTTGCAGTCGTACTCGCGACCACTCAACTTTAAGTTTACTGCCTTAGATAAAAAACCTGATAATATGTTCAGTTAAAACATTTGTGCCTTTTCATATTTCCAATGTCGTCCTAATTTTCGCTTTAAGACAAATCAAATAAAACAAAAATCAGCAGTACAATTATCGAGTTATAAATTCAAGAATACTACTAATAAATACAACTTCGTTTAAAATCTTAAAATAGATATGTAATCTAGATTAATTATATTTACAAAACTTCAAAAATACACTGATTTTATGCAGTGCCAAGGTAATTACCATACTTATCTAAAATACTCGTGCTAAGCTGCATAAAAACATTTTTCATAATCGATTACGTCTTCATGATTCGATTAATCGTTTAGTTTAGTCGATTATGAAATAGTTAATTGACGTGCGATAAGTTGATCGATTAAAATCTACTATTGTTACGTTTTTTATAATTGTATCTGTTGTTTGTTCAGTGGATATTTTTGTAGCCTAAATATACAACGAAAAATGGTCTGAGAATATGTTTGTTTGACATTTGTCCTGCAAGAACCAAAATAAAACCAGGACCTGTTATACTTGGGCCTCCAGTAACCTCACTTACACGAAGAAACAACGCAAGCGTTGATTCACGTCGGTTTTCTATGAGGCCGTTGGATCACTCCGGTCGAGATTCATACCGAAACATGGCTCTCACACTTTGAAGATTTATGGCAGCCTAGCCCTCTATAATGGCATTAAAACTCATGTTTACATTTGAGTATTCACAATTTTATATCTAGCTAACCCAGAAACTAGACCAAAGTCACACATACGTGTTAGTCTATCAAATAAACAATCTCCCATCTTTTACTGAAATATGAACGACCGTGATAGCCTTGACACTCGTCATTAGTAGTTTACATAATAATAATATTCTAGTGCGCATCGTTATCATTACCTAACTCAGTGGCGTGCACAGGTTTTCTAGACAGGGTAGGCAATTAAATATCGTATGATTAAACCCCTCCCCCCCGGTCATACAATGACAATCATACTCACACAAGACAGGTACCTACATGTACAGAATACATTTTGAAAAGTGCGTTCAAGAATATTGTGGTTTATTCTGTCGCCAAATTACATACACTGACATCTCGCGTATTTTTTGTGAACTACTTCATCAGCTATGGAATAAGCCAACAAAACTTACAAATAATTGAACATCTATTAATTATACTAATAATGAAGCATAAATTTGATGAACCAAATTCAATTATCGAATTGCTAGATAATCTATTCAAAATCATAATAATATTATATTATATTATATTACGAATTTAAGAACGTAGGTACCTACCAACAAACAAAACAATAACAAGCGCGGCCGGCTGTGGCCGAGCCGAGTATTTATAAGCGGTACATTTGTTATTACATTACATAATTATTAATAATAAATTAATATGTAAATCAGTACAACCCGAAGTCTAAGTTGATATTTTTAAGAATTATCAAACAAGAAAATCAATAAAAGATCCATTAAAGTACATAATATTTACATTACCTACCTTTGACTTGGGTCAATTCTCGTAACTTGAGTACTGCCTATGGTCATTACCTGAATCTAGTCGTTGTAGGACACATTTTTGCGAAAACTTACTGTTTTTA